ACACAAGCAGGGGGAGTGGGAGAGGGAGAAGCGGGAGCCCGATGCGGGGCTCAATCCCAGGACCCTGGGATCATGACCTGAGCTGAACGCAGACGCTTAACGACTGAGCCACCCAGGTGCCCCACAGCCTGACTGATTTTGGATATGGAACAGCAGGTTTATATAGGGGAGTCATAAACATAAAGGCTGAAGGCAGAAGTCTAAGATTCTAGACCCATTGTCCATTCCCCAAATATTGTTTATGTGCATAATCCCCTCTCTGATGTCCCATTTTCATTCTAAAGTGGATAATGACCTTTTATTGAACACTGCACTTTCCAGAAAGGACCCCCAAAGTATCAGACTCTTAGGAATGGTATAAAGTGGGAGATTTAAAATATAAATCTTAATTTGACAGAAGAAATGGAAGTTCAAACGCTTAAGGCAAAAAGACTATTGATATCTCTGAGAGTATATAGAAAGCACCCAGCTCAGTGTTTTGTAAGAATTACTAAGGCAATAAAGGACTACTACCAGAATAGTCTTTTATTGTCTAGAATTCCTCATGCACTGTGATAATAAAAAGTGGACTCGATTTTAGTTGATGTTATTGTTTTTAGACTCTCTTCAGACAGTGCACTGCCATTTTGCCTGTCCCCTGGGCTGACCACCCTGATCATCCCCTACTCTTGGGGACACCACTGTTCTTCCTTCAAACATTTTCTTAGATTCATCTCATCTATAGAGTCTTTTTAACCAACCAATATCAAGCTGGCTCCTAATACCTGTTTCTTCCATGATCTTCTCCAGCCATTACAATCCGTTTCTCTTAATTAGCCGTTATTTAAATGCAATCCGGAGTGTGTGAATTACTCCTTCCTGCACATCCTGTATCTTAGACTTAACATAATGAGGACAGGACTGGGTCTGGTATCCATTACCCACCAAATGATAGGTGCGCAGTAATTGTTTTATCAGCAGGTAGCAAAGAGGATGTGGATGGCTTTGTGCAAACCACCATCCCCCTAAACCAGGGACCCCCTGATTCCTCTCATAGTAGGGAAGCACATCAGTGTCCCAGCTGGGCCCAAACTGTGCTTCCTGCAGAGACTCAGCTTCGTCTCATGATCCAGTGCAGCTAGCCCACTGGGGGAAGAGCCACCAAGCCGGGCAGCTCACCTAGTAGCGACATTCCAGGAATAAAGGGCAGAAGGCTGCTGAAGTGAAAGATGGGGACTTATGCCAGAGTCAGAAAGAGAAAAGAAAGGTCAGGCAAATCTTAGTGAGACCTTGAGGCCCAAGCAATACTGTCTGGAACCTGGGTAACAGAATGTGTCTTCCGAAGGGTAGGACTCTGCCCAACTTTGCCATAAATCCCTGTGTGGTCTCCAGACAATGGTAGGAGCTCCATGAGAGAGCAATGTGATGGGGAAAGAATAGCATCAGAAAGGAGAGTGGTGCCTGGCAAGGGTGCCACCTCCTCATTATAAAAACCCTAACTTTTAGGGGCGCCTGGGTGGCTCAGTCAGTTAAGCGTCTGCCTTCAGCTCAGGTCATAATCCCAGGGTCCTGGGATTGAGTCTCGCATCGGGCTCCTTGCTCAGTGGGGATTCTACTTCTCTCTCTCCCTCTCCCTCTGTGCTCTCTTTCTCAAATAAATAAATTAAAAAAAAAAAAACCCTAACATTTATTGAAAACACAACTTGTTGCAAACACTAGGCTAAGGTACTTTATGTATATTATTTATTTACTCTTCACAGTCCTTTGAGGTAGTTTGATCTCATGGATATGATGTGACAGAACCAGGATGGTAGGTGACTGGTTTTGTTCAAGAACACATGTGAGGCACCGCCCAGGAAACATCAGACATGCTTGTGGGGTGAGCTCTCCAGGGGCTGAATACTAGGGTGAGTTTTTCTGGTGGCTATTTTATTCATGTGACCACATTTGATGTCACTGTTAGTGAAACCCCAGAAAATGTGGGTGACAATAATACAATAATCATACCGGCTGAAGGAGAAGGTAGATAACCAGGAATTACAGATAAACAAAGTAGTCTGGGCTCAAATATCTGGAGGGCTGGTCTGGGATGCAGGAGCTTGAAGAGGAGCAAGCCTTGGGGGTGTGCATGGGAGGGAAGCGGGAAGTCTCGTCCCCTCCCCCCTTCCCTCCCCACCACCCCTGGAGGAGGCTAATTAGCCAGTGCCAGTTCCTAGGCCAAAAAGAAGTGACTGCTCCTTACACTTAGACTAGTGGTTCTCAACCTACGCTGAATGCTGGACCCACCTGGGGGCTTTAGAAACGGCCCCACTTACTGGCTCAGAGATTATCATTCACTGGGCTGAGGTGTGGCCTGGAGGGGCGGATCAGGGTTTTTCAAAGCTCCCCCAGGTGATTTTTAAAAAAAATTTTATTGTTATGTTAATCACCACACATTACATCCTTAGTTTTTGATGTAGTGTTCCATGATTCATTGTTTGTGTATAATACCCAGTGCTCCATGCCCTAATTTGGGGAAGGAAACCGGCATCAAAATCCAGGAGGCACAGAGATCCCCCAGGTGATTTTAATGTGCAGTTGTCTCGGTTGAAAACCCCTGGGTTAGGGCAAGCCCAGATGAAGGAGAGTTGATGGCACCTAATATTTATTGAGCAGCTACTATTCCCAGGCACTGTGCTGGGTGCTTTATGTGGATCCTTTCTGATCCTTAAAATCAACTTGCCGGGAGGTATGCTCCTCTCATTTTGAGAAGTGAGTAAACTAAGCCTCGCTCGCAGCTAAATCGAGGTCACAGAGGCTCTATCCCATCTGCCTGCCCCCAAGCCCAATCCTTTCCTGCTCTATGTCCCGGCAGGACAGGACCGCCACTGCGAACTCTGACAAGAGAGGTGGAAAGACACCAGAGATTATCTTCGTGAACACTCTTCACGAGAGATCATAAACACACCAAGAGAGACCTCTGAGACCTCTTCCGCCAGTGCCGTGTGATTGCCCTTGAGCCTGGGTCCTTCCTCCCAGCGGAGCTGCCATGACCTCTGAAAAATGTTTGCCTCTGTGCCTGTTAGGACTTCACCGTTCTCGTTCTGGTAACAGTGTCATGCCAGGTGCTAGGGGGTGTGTCAGAGAGACAGGATACCCAGTGCCTGTCTTCTGGAAATCTTTTGTTGAGCTGAGCAACAACTATTCAATGACACCACTTTGGACTAGTAATCTGGGGTAAGGGGGATTATTTGAAAGGCAGAGAATTGCTCTAGCAATTGGTGGTCCTCTGGGGCGCCTGGGTGGCTCAGGCGGTTAGGCGTCTGACTCCTGGTTTTGGCTCAGGTCGTGATCTCAGGGTCATGAGGTCAAGGACTCCACGCTGGGTGTGGAGCCTGCTTAAGGTCCTCTCTCTCCCTCTCCTTCTGCCCCTCCCCCCCAAATAAATAAATAAATCTTTAAAAAAAATAAAAAAATAAATGTGGTCCGCGAACCAATGGCACCCACAGCCTATGGGAGCGTGTCAGAAATGCAGACTCTCAGGCCCCCAACCCAGACCTAGTGATTCGGAATCTGCATCTTAAACCATCCCCAAGTGATACATTTATATAGTAATGTTTGGAAACAGTGGTCATGAACAATATTGGCATTACTTCTGTCCCCTGTTGTTGCTTTAGGAATATCTGTTTTATTTCCTTTCTCCTACAAATCTCCCCCGTGCTCACACACGCTTTTTTTTTTTTTTTTTTTTTTTTGAGCATTGTTGCAATTCTCCCTGCCCTTCTTAAAGTACATGAAACCAAGATGAACAGGGAACGTGGATCCTGTTTATAACGAAGTCTTTTGTCAGGTTTCTCTCGATGGCCCCAGGTGCCCTGGCACAGCTGCTGATATTTAGTGACGTTCTGCACCAGCAATTCTAGCATTTGGGAAGTGAAATTCATTTTTCTGTCTCTGGCTTATGAAAGCCTGGGGCAAAGGAGGTGAAGGAAGGGGAGCTTGGAGGAAATCAGTATTGGAAGTATCAGGTGCAGCAGCGAGGTCAGACCATTTCCATCTTAGGTCCTGGCGTTTTCTTGAGGCCTGGGCAATCTATCCCTTTAAATGCAGATGGGAGAATTTCTTTAATAAGTCCATAGACAAAGGTTTGTAGTTCTAAGAGGCTCCACATTTGACTCAAAGTCCTTATATTGAGTTACACCCTCTACAGGGATTGTGTTCTGCTCTATGTTTAATTACTCTCAGAAATGGTCAGTGAGGTCCTCTCAAGCACAGTCTTCAGGCACTTGTAATATTAATTGTTCCATTTAATAAGCAAACCACAGCCCCATTTAACCTTTCATGGATGTATGATTTTCATCTAGTCAAGTAATAAAGCAAATCACTTTCTTAGGTCCTAGATCGCCTCTTTTACAAACCTGTGCTCCTCGTTTTAGCATCACAAATAAAGACCTACCTTCGCTACTGAACAGATTAAAAAACAAAATCTACTCAAAGAGAGGAATGAATTTACAGATATTGGGAAACTTTGGAGGTTCAGGATTGTGGGTGACCTTGAAACAAATTGTATTATTCCTGCAAAGTTGCAGAATGATGCAATATAATGTTTGCATTTGGGAAAATTAATCATAATCCTGTCATTGGTCAGAAATATAATTAAACTGATTAGTGTCATAGGATAAAAATAAAAAGCAAGGCCTGTGACAGCTTCCTGCAACCCCCCCCCCCCAGCTCCCCAGAAAGGCTCTTAAAGGAACATTTAAAACACAAGTCTTTGTTCCCTCAATCTATGGTGCTCAGGTCAGGTGGACCCTGTGGCGTGGCTGAAATATTTCAAACAGTCACTCACAAATGTGTCATTTGACCTGCTGTTCTTCCAAAGAGGTATGAAAAATGTGTTTCTTGCTGAGATAACTTGAAATCAAATAAACATAATCTCTTTAATTCTTTCTAAATAGTTCCATATTTTAAGTCTAAACACAATAGAACACAAAGCTTCTAGCTTTTAAAAAAAGTTTATTTTTTTTTATGTGTGTTGTTGGATTTTTTTTTCCCTTCCAGTTTGTGTTAGTTAGATTTTAAGAGTATAATTTACACTTCAAACCAAACGAATATATTTCCTTCGGTTTGTAGACACATACACAAAAGATGGCAACATTTTTACTTGATTAAATAGATACGTGTGCTTTCACAAGAGTGCTATCTTTAAGCAAAGACAGACATTCTTATTTATATTAACCATCACTTGTTAAACCAGAGGAAAGTCTAGACCAAGGCTCGCAACAAAATTGAACGATATTTTCTTATGCAAAATTGGTTCTGGTCCATTGTTTCTATTTATATGCAATAATGGCACTCCCTCAAGTTTGTAATAACACTGTCATGGCTGAAGGGAGTTTGTTTTAGGTATTATATCTATTATCTGCTTCCTCTCCCTTCTTTAAATAGAATCTCCAAGGAGAAAGTCTGCATGTGGCATGGATTTAAGAACAAACGATAAATCAAAAGCTTTCCTAAAACCTCACTGAGTAGGATGTTATTTTAGATTGTTTTAAGATTTTTAATAATTCTTGTTTGTTTGCCCTTGGCATTGAACATTCAATGACACAGAACTTGCCTTATTCTTAGTGGAGAATTATACGGCTTGGAGTCCTCGTATAATGTTCTATTCATTTCCTTTGCTGCCTTCACGCAAGCCTACCTAACCTTTTGCCCAAACAAGGAATATTTATCTAGGGCTCCCTGTGCAAGGATGAATTGAGCGGTTTGGAAGTGGCTGCTTAGCTCACCACCACTAGAGTGTGCTCTGGTGCCGTAAGATTCAGAAGGTTTTCTTCCGCGGGTCGGCAAGGTACATGGTTGAAAGGCTTCGAAAAATTCTTTCCATCTAACCACAGAAGTGTCCCTTTAAGTGTCTTGGTAAGACTGGATTATGTTCATGGATTTGATTAAGGTAGAACTGAAGACTTTACCTTCAGTACTGACACATGACAGTATTCGGCGAGAGTTCATTTTCGGATTTGAATTAGCTCCACTTAGTTCCAGTGGGGTGGTGGTAAGAAATAGTATTTCCCCTCCATCCACGAGCTCTGTCTTCAGGCAGTAACTCTTTCACCTTATTTATAAAATAGTGTCGCTGTGGCCCCAGGGCCTGGATGTACGCTAGAGTGACCTGGGAAGAAGGGATTCCTGAGTGACAGTGGCCCTTGTCGCAAGTCCCCGGCAGAAGCCCCTGGCAGAACCTTGGCCGCAGGGTGGTGGTGATGAAAGCACAGTCTCCTTGGGTGTCCGCGCTGGAGGCTGGTCGTGCTCCTCAGTGTGCTTCCAGCACCTGTTAGCAGCACCTCCCTGTCCTTCAGCACCACCTTTTGCTTTACTTCACCCCCCCCCCACCCCCCGGGGAAAGCGGATGACTGGGACTCTCTTCAGGCACTGTGGCCCCTCAGTTCCCAGTGACCCACAGTCCTTTTGCTCTTGGTCCCTTCAGTAACTTCAGACCCAATGTCACTTCCTTCTCCTGGGGTCGGCCACGGTTGCTCCAGCAGAGTCTGCGAGGTCCTTGTAGCTGGGACCACTCGTCTCCCTGAGATGTCTAAGACTCACTGCTCAGGCTTCAGTGACCACCAGCTCTGACCAGAAGGTAGCCCAAGACCACTTTCACAGAAGTATGTCCCCAGGTCTGCCTGGATGGATGGAGGTTCAGCTCAGGTCCAGCTCTGGAGGCCACCCTGAAGCAGATCGGCCCTAGAGGGACCACAGCCCAGGGAGCCATTTGAGGGGGCCCAGTGTGCCCGGCTTCCTTTGCCCCTGGATGGGCGTGGAGGGACCCCAGCACCTGTGTGGGACTTTGTGCTCCCCTTTCCGTACGAACCCAATTTAGCTTGGGAACAGACAGCATCCCAGAACCCTTTTCAACGTGGCAGTGGTGGTGCTTCTCTTCAGTTGAAGGTTTTTCTTATACAACAGGGACACAAGGAGGTAGCTTGGGAGATTTCAGGGACACCTCCTACCCCTGTGCACACTAATGTCCACCTAGCCCCTTTCAAAGCCACTCCAAATAAAAGCAGAATCTAAATAAAAATAGTGCACTTGCTATGTAAGTACAACTTTAAGCCAAGTCATGTCATGAGAGGCCTCTCCAGCTTCCATCCAGAGCCCCATCCATATGGATTGGACGTCCAGGAGCCATCTTTCCTCTGATGTGGCTCCTGGGCAGTGAGTCCCGCAGACTCCCTTCCCAGAAACCCAGGGTAGCCAGTCCCTCCTGGGCTCTAAGCCTCCTGTGGCAAATGAGGGCCGTCTGTCCTGCTACTGATCCCAAGATTCTACCAGGACCAGGAGCCCCCTAGATGCCACTTTTGGACACCCCATAGGCTTCTAAGGACATTCATGGAGATATACCATGTGATAACAAAGTCTCCAAGCCGACCCTCACTCTTCTCTTGCTCTCTTGAAGTTCCCTCGGCCTCCGTGTTTGTATGACTTGCAGACAATCTTTGGTCAGTTAAAAACGATAGAAACCCAGCAATGTACTTCTCGCTTGGACAACAGCATGATCCTGTGTATGGAAAGAGCCTGTGCTCTTTCCCCAAATCCTTCAGCTTGTCAGTTGTGTGATTGAAGGAGTTTGCTCCAACTTCCTAAGCCTCAGTTTCCGTTTTTATACCGGAGAGGTGCAATGGGAACAAGCCTTAGTGTGGTATACTGCTACCCCAAAAGTGCAAATCGGTGCTACTGCCTCAAGCAGAGAATGGGGTCAGCTGCGCACGTAACTGACCAGCTCATCTGCACAGGGTGGTTCACTGGATCACATTCGTCCGAAATGCCTTTAAAAAGGAAGTCATCTGTTACTCCTTCTTGGGTTTCTATTACTTACAGGACAAGCATTAATTTCAAAGGAACAAAGGTTTGCCAGACTTGAAAAGAGAAAGAGAATTCTGAGAGTTGCACAAAAATAAATATTTTCCTACCACAATATTGAGTTTTCACCACCGACCATGCCCTAATATGTTGGCTTTTAAAAATCACTGCGATTACTTAACTGAAATTTATTAAATGTGCCATAGGAGAAGTTGGAGATATAAAAGTGAAAAAACAAAACCAAAACCTCGGTGGCTCCAGTGAGCTTCTCTCATGCCACCTGGGGATAGAACCACACACCTAGGAACTGTAAAAAGAGACTGTTAAATAGAATTTATTGTGCATAATTATAGTTACAGTTTATGATGATGAACACTATTTGATAATCTCATACCAATACAAATGCACTATTTGGGAGTATTTCCCCCTAAAGCGCTTTACCCTTTCAGCATCATGGCAGGAATAGAATATTGTGGAAGAACATTGAATTATAAAGCCAAGTTCCAGTTCTGCCGTCAACCAGTTGTGTGGCTCAGGTGAGACCCTTAACCTTCCAGGTGTCTGCTTCTCTATCAGTCAAATGAGGAGTTGTAACTTTAGATCAGTGAGCCCCAGAGCACGCTAATCAACAGGATCATCTGGGGAGCTTTGAAAACGTGCAGCTATCCATTCTCCCTCTACCTGGAACTGTTAATTAGAATCTCCAGGTGTGGGCTCAGGAATCCACATTTTTAAAAAGTTCTGTCACATGTTTCTGATGATCCATGGGTTTAAGGAATGCCTCGTTAGAAAGCTGGCCACATTTGGCCTTTCTTTAAACCACCTCTTTTCTCACCCTGCTTAAAAACATGTCTCTCAATTTTACCTGGTTTCCGCCATTACCTTCCTGCTCCCTGCTCCGGGATTTCATGACACACTCCTTTGCATCTGTGGCCTTAAACACACACCTCTGCTCCTCCTGTGTCCTCGGCTCCCTCCTCCACTGGGAGCCCCACACTGTCTCTACTGCTTGGGTTCCTATCCCTGCAGCTGACTAATCCCAGTGGGTGAAGTCTCCTACCAGGATGAACCCAGCCCCTCTCACCCCACCCCTACCCCTCACACATCCAATCAAGCTCCAGGGCCAACACTAGCCCAAGACAAGGGCACTTCAAAAATTAACTCAAGGATTCAGTGTCAAATCAAGGGGTACAGACAAGATTCCCATTGTGGTTAAAGTGGGGGCCCTGAGATGAAATGTGGGGGTCTGAACTCTTGCTCCACCACTTGCTGGTTGTGTGACGTGGGCAAGTTACCTAACCTCTCCATAACGCCCTTTCCTCATCTGTAAAATGGGAATATAAATGGTTTCTAGCTCACAGGTTACTGGGAATGTAAAATGAGATCATGTTTCACAGCTAACGTTTTTTGAGTGTTTATTATGCATCAGGCAGTACTGTAAGCATTGTATATGCAACAATACATTTCAGTGGTGGAGGGCAGTCCAAACCCAGGCAGGGAAGCTCAAAATCCACAGTCTCAGCCACTACTCTATAATTCATGTAATGTACTTGCTGAAGTGCCTAGCATACGGTAAGAATTGAATAAATATTTAAAGAAAACCCAGAATCTGGGCTCTTGCTTTGTACACTGTGACTATTCTTTTATAGTCCAATTTCAGCCAGACTCTTCATTATTCTCTATCTGAGACTCCATCTTCCCACCTTGTCTACTTACCCAGGTCCCCCAGGACTCAGTCACCTCCTAAGAGCTTCCTCTTATAAGGCTTTCCTTCCTGACCTCTTTGTCTTTAACCCCACATGATCTCTCTGCTCTTCTGCCATTACCATGAGAAGGACATGACTGTGTGCTAGCCTGATGGAAGATGGGAGACACACAGAGGAGACTTATGTCACATGGGTCCTCCCAGCCAAGGCCATCCTAGACCAGTTAGCAGCCAGCAGATCCTCAGACCCATGAGTGAATTCAGCCAAGATCAGCAGTCACCATGCTGACTTCCCCATGGGCAAACATAAACCCTTATTGTTGTATGCCACTGAGGTTTTGTGGTGTTTTCTTACACAGCATTATTGAAGCAATAGATGACTGGTGCATAATTGTTAAGTGATATCACATGGATGCAATAATAAAAGCCAGAATGTGGGGAATCCTACAGGATAAATAATCCAGTTTCTTCTCTTGTCCTGTAGAATTCCCCACATTCTGAAGGGAGAAATGTTATAGATGAAAGGAAACTTGAGAAACATATGAGCCAAGGGCAATATCTGGATCTTATGTGAACCTCATTCAAATAAATTTGCTATTAAAAAACATTTATGAGGGCACCTGGGTGGCTCAGATGGTTAAGCGTCTGCCTTCGGCTCTGGTCATGATCCCAGGGTCTTGGATCGAGCCCCACATCAGGCTCCTGGCTCAGCGGGGAGCCTGCTTTTCCCTCTCCCTCTGCCTCTCCCCCTGCTCATGCTTTCTCTCTCTCTGTGTATCTCAAATGAATAAATAAAAAATCTTAAAAAAAAATTTATGAGACCACCAGGGAAATTGAACACTAATGCTAATATTAAGAAATTACTGTTAAATTTTAGGTGTTATAATGGTAATATAGTTATTTTTTTTAAAAGGTTTTATTTATTTGATAGAGAGAGACAGCAAGAGAGGGAATACAAGCAGGGGGAGTGGGAGAGGGAGAAGCAGGCTCCCCACTGAGCAGGAAGCATGATGTGGGGCTCGATCCCAGGAACCTGGGATCATGACCTGAGCCGAAGGCAGACACTTAACGACTGAGCCACCCAGGCGCCCCTATAGTTATTATTTTTTTTTTAAAGAAACCGTATCTCTGAGAGACACATACTGAAACATTTATGGATGAAATGATATAATGTCTGGAATTTTCCTTAAAATAATCTAGTGAGGCAGAAAGTAGGGGAGAGTTATTGGTGAAACAAGATTAGCCATATATTGGTAAGTGCTGAAGCTGGGTGATGGGTACTAGAGATCATTATACTATTCTCCATAGTTCTGTGTATGTTTCAAAAATTTTTTAATTTAATTTTATTATATTATGTTAGTCACCATACATTACATCATTAGTTTTTGATGTAGTGATCCTCATTTCATTGTTTTCGTATAACACCCAGTGCTCCACGCAGTACGTGCCCTCCTTAATACCCATCACCAGGCTAACCCAGCCCCCCACCCCCCTCCCCTCTAACACCCTCAGTTTGTTTCTCAGAGTCCATAGTCTCTCATGGTTCATCTTATAGGGGCACCTGGGTGGTGCAGTGGGTTAGGTGTTAGACTCTTGGTTTTCGCTTGGGTCTTGATCTAGGGTTGTGGGATTGAGCCCCATGTCAGTTTCCAGGCTCAGCATGGAGTTTGCTTGAGATTCTCTCCCTCCCTCTCCCTCTGCCCCTCCCACTTGTGCTCTCTCTCTCTCTCTCAAATAAGTAAGTAAATCTTAAAAAAAAAAAGATAATCTCCATTATAAAAAAGTAAGGAAAAAAGGAAAGAAAGAAGGGAGGGAGGGAGAGAGAAAGGAAGAGAAGAACATGAACAAACTGCAAGGACAAATGATGAGTCATGAAATAAGGTCAGAACTAAAGACTTGCCACCAGTGTCACTTATGGTAGAACCCCAAGTTAAGCTATTAAGACCTAATTTGAAGCTGTGGATCCTTCCATGTTAAAAGGGAAGCAACTATGATATAGTCTTAGAATATATCTGAGAAAAAACTCACAATAGAATATGCATGCAAACAATAATCTCAGGATCAATGAGGTTCTAATAGAGTCAACAGATCTAAGAAATGGCAGGATCCACATCCAAGGAAATAAATACAATAGAGCAAGTCTCAGGACATTAAGAAGAAAATAGCAAGCATAAAACAAAAACTGGACGTTACAAGAAAAAACTTATAATTATGAAATAGGAATAGGATGATAAAGAATAAGAATCATGGGGTGCCTGGGTGGCTCAGTCGTTAGGCATCTGCCTTCGGCTCAGGTCATGATCCCAGGGTCCTGGGATCGAGCCCTATATCAGGCTCCCTGCTCAGCGGGAAGCCTGCTTCTCCCTCTCCCACTCCCCCTGCTTGTGTTCCCTCTCTCACTGTGTCTCTCTCTGTCAAATAAATAAATAAAGTCTTAAAAAAAAAAAGAATTAGAAATCATGAAGTGAAAAATACAGTTGATTATATATACTATTAAAAAAATTCATTAGATGAGTTTGCTAGTAGCCTATTTATAACTGAAGAGATATTTAGTAAATTGGAAGAAAGAAGTAAATCTCTCAAAATGGGGTGCCTGGGTGACTCAGTTGGTTAAGCGACTGCCTTCGGCTCAGGTCATGATCCTGGAGTCCCTGGATCGAGTCCCGCATCGGGCTCCTTGCTCGGCAGGGAGTCTGCTTCTCCCTCTGACCCTCCCCCATCTCATGTGCTCTCTCTCAAAAAAAAAAAAAAAATCTCTCAAAATGTAGCTCAGAGAGATAAGAAATGGAGACTATAAAAGAGATGTAGAAACAAGGAGAAATCCAATTGGAGTTCCAGAAGAAAAGGAAAGATTATATAATAAAGAAGCAATCTTTGAAAATATAATAGCTAATAATTTTCCAAAACCAAAAGAACAAGTGAGTACCAAGAAGAATAAGAAAGTTCTATGTAGAAAGTTCTATGTCCAGATAGATCACAGAAAATTTAAAAACAATAAAGGTGCAGAAAACAAAATCCCAAAAGCTGCCAAGGGGAGAAAAAAAGGCAAAATAGGTAAAAGAATGACAATTACATTGATGGACTTCTTGGCAGTAGATGACAGGAAAAAAAACCAAATGATAAAAGTGCTGAGGGGAAAATGATGAATCTAAAATTCTATACCCAGCTAAATTATCATTCAGAATCAGGGTGAAACAAAAGACAAGCATAGATCTACAGAGATTCAGAAATTACTAAAAGATATATTAAAAAAAAAAAAAA